TGCTGAGGTGACGGAGGGTGGAGGGTAAAGTGACGACTTCTATCCTCCTCCCTCCTGGTTTGTCTCCGAACCTCCGGGACTGACAGAATATAGGTGGGGACGCCCTCTATATTTGTGTCTTTCCCTCCCTCCAGCCTAAGGAATTTTTCCCTTCTCCACCTCCTTGTCTTTCACTCTCCTTCCTGCTTTAACATGGGAGCTTCCCCCTCGTCACCTGTAGCAGATTCTCCCCTCCAATGCCTTATAAAAAACCTAAAAACCTTGTCTTTAGAGCCTGATATCAAGCCCAAGCTCCTTATAAAATTTTGCACACAAGATTGGCCTCAATACCAATTAGATAATCAAAACAGATGGCCACCGGAAGGCACACTAAATATTCTTTGAGATTTATTCAACCTCTGCCAGTGCCAGAGAAAATGGAAGGAGATTCCCTATGTTGAGGCTTTCCACCTACTTGCCCAAAATCCCTCTCTCTGTCTCACCTGTTCTCCCTCCTAGGTTCCAAACCCCCTCTATCCTCGCCGCCTCCATTATCCCCTACTTCTGATGGTTTTGACCCTGCAGACGAACCTCCTCCATACAGACCCCCCTCCTCCTGTAGTTCCGCTCCCCAAACCCCCACAGCGGCTCACTCCGCCGCCATCTTCTGCTCTACCTAACCCTTCTGCTCTCCCTCCTTCTCCCTCCCCCTCTGCCTCTTTCAGCCCCCCCTTAACTCATTCCCGGGGACTCCTCCCTTCCTCTACCATGGCTCCACTCCATGAAGTAGCTGGTGCTGAAGGGGTTGTTAGGGTACATATTCCCTTTTCTTAGCAGACCTTACTCAGTTAGAGAGAAAATTAGAATCGTTTACCATCGATCCCACCACTTACGTTAAGGAATTCCAATGGGTTCTCCAGGCCTACAGTCTCACCCACCATGACATTTACATGCTACTGGCTAACAACCTCCTTCCTGAAGAGCGCCACCGCGTGTGGGACGTGGCCCAAGCTCATGCAGATGAAAACCATCGTGTTAATCCCGCCTTCCCAACCGGACCACACACAGTTCCTGAGCAGGATCCACATTGGGATTATAATACAATCCAGGGTATTCAGG